TATTTTAATAATCAACTTTCTTTTAGAAGTGTTTTAGAAGCATTAATGTGACAAGTCACATTCGGAAAGAACCTTTTCAAGAGACGCTGCTTACTGACAATACTTCCCCGACCACTAACATCTTAACCTCTTCAAGTCTAGGGTCAACTTTGTCTATCCTAGAGAGCCTCGTCATCTACAATTCTTTCGTCCATAAAACAAACCTAATCAGTAACATTCTTCGCTCTTGGGGATTGTATTGAGTGAAAAATAAAGTAAGAAGCGCAAAACTGGTAAATATATTGAATGATGTGTACGTTTTTTGGTTCTCATCTTGGTTGGAGTGAGAACATTTCGAAAGTCCGCTCGAAACTGGAAAGAAATTGGTAGCGTATTAGCATTTGAAATCTAGGGTTGCTCAAGGAAGATCTCAGCAAAAATGGTGACTACAATTATGAAGCAATTTTCGGAAGAGTATTGGAAAAGATGACACGATTTGCTAAATATTGAACTGAGAAAGATTTCACGGACGGTTTACACACACACACACACACACACACAAACAAACAAACTCACACGCACACACACACACAAACAAACAAACTCACACACACACACACAAACAAACTCACACACACACACACACACACAAACAAACAAACTCTCTCACACACACACACACACACACAAACAAACAAACTCACACACACACACACACACACAAACAAACTCACACACACACACACACACAAACAAACAAACTCACACACACACACACACACAAACAAACTCTCTCACACACACACACACACACAAACAAACAAACTCACACACACACAAACAAACAAACTCACACACACACACACACACACACACACAAACAAACAAACTCTCTCTCTCACACACACACACACACACACACACACACACACACACACACACACAAAGAAGTCACTATTGAAGAAAAACGGGTAAAAGGCTCGTTAAGCATTCGGTAACTTTTGGGATCAGTCGACTGATTATTAGGTCAGACGTCAGAATTGAACTTTTTGTAGCATATCCAGCAAGGTTAAATTTGTAGATAAAAGAACACGACAAACGATGTAATAAAAAGTACTATCACTGGCAAAACAAAAAAAAAAGCGTTGTGGAGGACATATCATCTTACGTACCGTAGATATTGAGATATCGACCAGCGCAAGAGATTATATAAACGGATATGGTTGTTTAAACTAGAAAATTTCTAACACAAAGTTGGCAGACCTGGGACACATATTCTGCTTGGTTTTGGATGTTCACGTATCTTATATACCTTTGTAACAGCAAAATTGCTCAATAGTTAGATTAAGCTTTGAGACGTTTTATCTTAGAAATGATTAAAGATATCTTACTGGAATTATTCGATGTTTTCATAACACTATTGAACTCTACTTTGAAAAGTAAGAATGTATTTAGCTCTAAGTTGAAATGATGATCCCGCTTGCTGTTGTGACCTCCTGATTCAGTTTTCCTCTGTACTGTTCCCTCTTTTTAAAACTTATTCACCATTCTCTTGATGGTTCTTGAATGGACTTTGAATATGGAAGCCAGAGTATGAATATTGGTACCATTACTGAAAGCCTGAATGGTATTTTTCCTCTCACCATTTCTGAGTTTGGAAGAGAGTGGGAATAACACAAAACGATTTTATCCTGTTCTCTTTCTTGCTGAATGTCTCAAAGGGTTTTTCAGGGATTCTTACGACAGATGGTATCAAATTGTCTAAACGTCTTATCAGAAAACGTGGAAGAAAGAAACTCAATTAGTTTAGTGGTTCTTTTTATATATTAAACATTTTGTGGGATGGACAATTATGCCATGCTGTTACACCTTTTTGACAATTTTGCAGTTACACCCAGTATATATTGTGCTATAAACCTTGCATATTTAGTGTAGGTATCGCTGTTCTTAAGCAGTGCAGAAGATACTGAGAAATTGGTCAGGATTAAAGAGAAAAGGGTTTGCTAAAATATCAGCCCATTCTTTCGAAAAATCTTTTATCTTTTGCTATCCATGGCAAATTTGGGAGGAGATTCATCTTCCCACAAGAAAAGGACCCAAAATACTTTTAGAAAATTCTTCTCCTCTCTGCCGTGTCTCTTCAGGACGTGAGTGATCATGGCTCTCAACAATTTTCTGTCTTTTATAGCTCTTAATGTCTATTTTCTATCCCTATTCTTCTAACCATTTACACAAGCTCGCTTGCAGATTATGAGTTGTTTCCCCGCCCTCTCTCTCTCGCTCTCTCTCTTGTTTCAAATGTATCCTGTTTGTTTAGCGGAATATCAACTCCTCATGGGTCATTTAATGTCGAAATTTAAATTTCTTGAGAAGCATTCGTAATTTCTTTTACAATTGCTGGTAATATTTTTGTTTACAAAAGTATATCGCTGCTATTTTTATTTGCTATGATAATATGTTCATGGTACTCTTTACTATAAAAATGTATTTTTATACTTTCATTGTGTTTTGGCTCCAGTTTAGGGGTTAACTATTTGCCCATAGCTTGAACCCTAACAGCTGCTACAACACCGGATCAGGGTGGACCTGGGAACAACAGTAATTAAGAGTTGGTTCCACACCATTCAAAACCTCCCGATCAGAGGACTTGCAAGTGGATGT